ATTCCGATCGTTGGAATTCTCGCAAACATAATTGCCACCGATCGAATGTACTGTTCGTCGGCACTGGTTCCCGGTATAGAATATATTGCAGCACTCAAGGTAATCTCATTAAAGATTATAATTACAATTATAATCACAATTGCAAAGAGTTGACGTAATTGATGCTCATGTCGTGGATTATTGCGCGTGTCATGTGTGTACTGCTCATGTCGTATACGCTGCTCGTGTCGTAGCTCCGCGCGCGACATGTATTGCTGAAAACTTAATTGAACAAATACTTGAGTGCATTCCTCGCCGTAACCGGGCACCTGTGCCAACCTAGTTGATAATTTCGATCGTTAATATAACTATTTTCTTATTTCGTACATTCCTTGCAACCCTCTTCCTTGTTAGCTCTACACTGCATTTGGACCCCGCCGTCTTGGCGCATCACCACTCGGGTGGCGCCGAACGGTAGGACCTCGTTACCGCCGTCTTGGCGTAGCACCATCGTTCTCCCGCTATCACGGAGGGCTTCGGGTGTCGCCAAACGGTCGGACCTCATTCGGAAGTCTTCGACTCCCGCCGTCTTGGCGTCTCACTATTGTTCCTCCCGCTATCACGGAGGGCTTAGGGTGTCGCCGAACGGCTGGACCTCATTCGGAGGTCACACATCGTCACGCGTGATGTCTCTCGTCCGCACGTCGCATGGGCACGTTCGCGGCGAAGATATTCGCGTAAGCGTAGCTCGTTGAACGAGGGCGAGGCCTTACACCCTCGCCCCGTTATCATGCACCGTCGAGTCATCGTACACTCACGGTGTCTGAGGACACCGCCGTCTTGGCGTGTCACCACTCGGGTGACGCCGAACGGTAGGACCGCATTACCGCCGTCTTGGCGCGTCACCATTCGGGTGTCGCCAAACGGCCGGACCTCACTCGGAGGTCATAACCGTCGAGTCACCACACTCCCGGTATCGTGGATATCTCCGTCTTGGCGATCACCATGGTTCCTCCCGCCATCACGGAGGGCTACGGGTGTCGCCAAACGGCCGGACCTCATTCGGAGGCCAAAAATTACCGACGTCTTGGCGTAGGACTCGCGCTTCTTTCGCGCTCACGGAGGGCTGCGGGTGCCGCCAAACGGCCGGACCTCCGTCGGGGGTCGTCAACAAAGGTTGCTCGCACGCGCACCCCAGTAGAGGCTACGATTCTTCCGCGCATCTTCGCCCCGTTACCTAGCAGTCAGGTCGAGCGAAGAGCGTGGAAACATTTGAACGGATTGCGGCTAGCTGATCCGCGGTATCACCGACCCGGTCCCATCGACATCCTGATCGGCGCAGAAGTCTTCGCGTCGCTACTTCGGGATGGCCGTCGCGTGGGAAAGAAGGGCGAACCAGACGCCTTCAATTCCGTCTTCGGCTGGGTTCTCGTCGGTTCGGTATCGACGCAGGCGCCGGGATCCACACATTCGTTTATGACTCTCGATTCGTTGGACGCATCTCTTAGTCGATTTTGGCAACTAGACGAGATTCCATCGGTCCCCCCGTATTCGCAGGAGGATAAACGTTGCGAGGAATTATTTGCTCAAACCACGCGTCGGGACGCGTCCGGTCGTTTTGTCGTATCGTATCCCTTCAAGAGGGATAAACCTTGTTTTGTCGGCACGCGTCAAGTAGCCCTAAATAGATTTCGCGCACTTGAGCGTCGCTTTAAATTAGATGCAGAGTTTAAATTGAACTATAACAAATTCATGCAGGATTATTTGAATAACGGTTATATGAAACTGATTGAACGGCTGTTCCCGGTGGACGGACCTGTATTCTATTTGCCCCATCATGGGGTAGTCAAATCGGATAGCACTACCACAAAATTGCGGGTCGTATTTGACGCCTCGGCGAAGGATTTGAACGGCGTTTCGTTGAACGACGTATTGCGATCCGGGCCAAAGTTACAGACGGATATAGTCGTGATATTGTTGAGGTTCCGGGTAGGCCGCGTGGCACTCACTGCGGACGTCAGACAAATGTTCCTTCGGATCTTGGTCGAGCG